CCTGTAGCGCGAATGGACCCTGTTCTCATGCGTTGTATAGGAGGCCATATAAAGCATCCCCACAAAAACCGACCGGAAACCCCTTTTTCGATTTATAATTAATAAGTAATATCATCGTTCTTAGGTTGGAGTGCGCGCTCCCATGTAAAGACTTGGTTCAAAAATTTACTTAAACAACCCTCTTAAGAAGGCCTTCAAATTACGCGCGTCTCAGGAAAAGTAGTATGTGAGAAAGCATTTATCGCAAAACCTGATAGGAGCCGGGACCATACTCTCTAAGAAGATCTTCATGCCTCAGTCCGGGAACACTTTTCAAGTCCACATTGGCAGACGCGTAGCGTGTAGAAAGCGGGTTTATCAACACCGTAACTTAGGCCCGTGTAAACTTTTGCGGAATTAATTCCGGTTTCATTTAACAATGTAAGTCCCCAGCATTGCTGCCAATGCTTTCAGTTTGCGTGACAAAACACAGGAAAACGAAAGATGTAGATATGCTGGATGCCGAAGTACAAAGAAAACTAAGGCTGACTGTAGGTCTCATCGCCTCTCAAGACAAGGCCCACTCAGAATGTACATTGTTTTCAATCATACAACATAATTCTCGGCTGGTTTCGCATATCAGACGTCAATACGCCCCCCCCCCAAATCTTTGCTTAGCAAATAATGGTACATGAATGCACTACATAAGACATCAAATGTACCTTGGAACTCAGCCTAGCTTTCAGTAAGTTTTCGAAACTCTCCACAAAAAAATAATGGTAACATTCTTTGTTCCGAAGAAGGCTTCCTGTTATCTGCTGTATTTATGCTAAAAGCGTATTCATCCAGTTAACGCGATAAACCCACAACATCTAAATGATACATTGAACACCAAGTGCTGTGCTATCAACTGTCTCTTGTGAATATGCATCAAGCAACGAAAATCCACGAAAACCCGATATAATATATGCTGAGTTGTACTTCGGGTGCTTCGTCTGACGGAACCCCAAAAATGGACGTGCAGAAGACACAGCTAAAATTCGAATGGGAACACTGCTTTGTTTTAACAGGCTGTGGGTTCGGGCCTCGGATGGTGCACCACCTTGGGCTGGGTGTGACTGGCTGATGACAGCTAATAGGTCCGAAACTGCCATTTCAGTCTCTTATGTGTTTGTCGGCTATGTTTCTATGCCAACACTCTTAGCCGCTATGCAGCTGTTGGAGGGGCTCGAGAAATGAGACCCAAGGCAGAACGACACGAGTGAGTTCTGGTAGCGATCGGTGAACGTTCATCAACGAGCGTCAATATCTACTGATCTAAATGAGCAATAAAATGAGGTCGTAATTTAAGGTTTAGAGCGTTGGATTTCTGATCAACGGGTCGTGGGTTTGAGGCTCGAATGGTGCATCACCTGCGGCTGGGTATGACTGGCTAATGACGAATAATCAAGTGGAAGTAGTCATTTAAATCTTTCTTGTCTTTGTTGGCAATGCTTATGCGTTAAACTGCTTTATTTTGAGTAAGGAAATTACCTTGACTGCACTTCATAGGCGTTGATATATATTACGCACTTCTAACGCTAACTTAATCAACCACTGCTTGCTGCTAATATTGTTAAAAATACATATATCTCAGAAATCACCTGGTTTTCGTTTGTAAATTTTGCAAGTTCTCCCCCAGAAAGGGGAGGTTTGATGCGGCACTGCTGAGGGGTCAGAGTCAAGGGTAGCTTATTTTTAGGAATATATCATGAGTTATGGACAAATCGCATTCTATGCCAATACCAGGCAAACGCCACCTTTTCACCACTACCCCGGCCAGTTGAGCTAGGTTAAAAAAGACAGAACACCGTTGGTATGTTTGAGCTCCTGTC